ATGAAGCGTCCGCACAGTGGTCTTCCTTGTTTTGAAACTGAAAATTTCAAATTCAAGGAACTTTGGAAGTTTCTAATGTTAGTATTACTATAACTTATAAGTATAACTATAGCTTAAATATAACTACAACAGTACAAGTATAATACTTATACTATAACTTATCATATTATATTACAATAAATATAAGTATTGTGGTGAGCTTACCTTGTGTATTTCCTATCCAAATAAAACATAAAACCTGAGAAATCTCGTATTTATTTTTAGGTTCTTAATCTTGTAGTTGCACTCAAACGTTAAGTTTAAGCATTCTGAGCTAAATTTAATACTTATTATCAATCAACCTCTACCATTTTATATATGTATAATAGAAAAATAACAAATATTGTTATGGGTTAAAATTTAAAGCCCGTTTTTTAGCTAGCCTAAATAAAATGTATTAAATGGGTTGTTTTGTTTGCTTATAACTCTCTAGATAATTACTTATCAATATCTGTTTATATATTCTCTTACAAGTCTTTGTAAGAGAACAGACTAGGTTTAGAAATTAATAGTTAACAGTAATGGTGATGTTGCATATATGCCACAGCCTGTGTTTGTTATTAGTAAATTACAATATTGTTCATATTGGTTTTCATTTAGATTTAAAGGAATGCCTACTTAGTTCATGCAGTGCAGATAGCTATATCTCATGATTTTTGATTTCATATTTATAACTGGACAATAAACGATTCCCTAGTCTGAGCTGGATAGACAGACATGAGAAACTTTATAAGGTCATGTGGCCCCACAAAGGATCACACTCCTGGAGAAAAAAATGACTTTCATATCTTCAGTGTAAGTTCTTAATTCATTTGAAGGTTTTAATTGATATTTCTGGTGTATGACTAAATAAGTTAATTCAAATTTTATTAAAATATTTTCTGTGTTAAATGTTACACAATGCAGAGGTAATTTATGCAATACATTTTATGAATTTAATGCATAAAGTTTTGCAGAAAGAAAAAATCATGATCATTGGAGAAACACTGAAAGTTGGATATTGATAGTATATTAATGAACATACAATTTCATTATTTGTATATGAATAATTAATCTGTATTTAATATAAGAATGATTCCCATATTATATTCTAGGAATGGGACAAACTTAAGGGAAATTACCACCCAGAAATCCCCGAGTACTGGACTCTAGCCAAGCAGAGATTTAGGAATGCCCATTCCAAGCTGGAGAAGATGGGAAGAGTTAAAAGAGAGAAAATAAAAGAATCAAAAGGATTTCGAGTGTACAGAATAATGGGTAAGAACTTAGATATAATTGAGTACTTTTTAATTTTCCTCTCGGTTTTATTTGTACACATTGTTATCAGATTTATATTTGACCATTATTTTATTCTGGGAACGTACAGAGGAAAGTAATCTTAATGTGAGATATTGAAAATTTGTAGAAAAGACATTTCTCTGTTACATGTATTTTTTTTGAAATTTTCAAATCAGTATATTGCTGGTCATGTTTACTTGCAGGCTCCATCAACCACTACCACAACAAACTTACTGTAATTCACCTGATCTACTCACTAAACGAGAAGATGATGTTATATTTGTTAATCCACTACCCATCTTCCAGCCCGTAGAGTTATATTTAGCATGTGAAGATGGAATTTTTCCAATTAAATTGGAATCTCCTGAGATTGTGATTGACACAGGTTGTGACAACACTATTTCCACGGAACGTTTGGAAGAGCTGCTATAAAAAATTCTGATTGGCTAAAGAAAGAAGCATGTCTTGATAATGATCCACAGTC